TTCCAGTTTTTTACTATTATAAATAAAGCTGCTATAAATATTTGCGTTCGAGTTATGAGAGACTAATATTTCATTGCATTGATATGCCACTTTTTGTCTATTCACTGATTGAAAGTTGTATCAGCTGCTTTCAAGTTTTGGCAATTATGAATAAATCTACGACAAACATCTGTGTGCAGTTTCTCTGTGAACAACTTTTAAACTCTTTAGTTACCTGCTAGTGAGTGTGATTTGCTGGATTATATATTATGAGTATATTTATAATCATAAGCTGAGCTGTCCTTTATTTTATTTTTGGTACCTGGGATCGACTCGGGACCTTGTGCTTCTGAGGCAGGCACCTGAACCACTGAGCTAAATCCCTGGCCCATACGCTATCTTTTAAAGTGACTATACCACTTTGAATTCCAACCAGCAATGGATGACAGTTTTAGATTTTAGCCACTCAGATATACAGCATTATATCATTGTTGCTTTAGTTTGCCATTGCCTAATGACAGGTGATGACATCTTTTCATATTCTTTTTAAAGTGTCTTGCAGAGAAATTTTTCATCAAGTCTACCTTACCCAATTTTTCTTTCATGGATTTTATTTTCCATGTTTTGTTAGCTTTACATAATTATAAAAAATGGTTGATATAAAGTAGTTATGAGTAAAGAGAGGTTTATTTTGTGAAGGGTTCTAGAGGTTCATGTCCAAGATCAGGCATCCCTGTTGGTTTGGGCCTCTGCTAGGTGTGGAACATCATGGTGGGTGGGTGTGTTGGTCACATCTTGAGCCAACAAGAAGGGAGAGAAGGAAGAAGAGATGTGTGAGGGGGAGAATGCTGATACAAAACTCATCAAATCCTTTACAGCAGTGACTGGTGAGTGGTAGAATAAATGACTGTGAGGAACAAGGATTAATGTGAAAAATAGGAGCATCAAGAAAGATCAGGTCTTGGGCCGGGGATTTAGCTCAGTGGTTTCACCACCTGCTGCGCAAGTGCAAGGACCCGAGTTCGATCCCTGGTGCCAAAAAAAAAAAAAAAAAAAGAAAGATCAGGTCTTTCCAGAGATGTAAGAGAAGAAATGGCCTCACACAGTCCAGTCTCCAGGAGCAGTGTAACTTCAAAACTGATTACTAAATTATCCCTATGTTAATTTCAGAAAGGCACATTTTAAAAAGTAATGGAATTCCTAAGTGTTTTTAAATAATGTCCACCTGTAACCAAGTTGTTACATGGTAGTGTATTCATTTCTCTAGGAAAAATATGCTGAATAACTGAATAATTTTGTGCATCATTTTTCAGTTTACTGAGCTAGTTAGCAGAAAATACAGTGTTGCTATATTCTGCCTATCCATTACTGACCTAATCCCCAGTTTTTCTTTTTAACATTTACATTAGCGTGTTATCGGTTAGTGTCTTTCAGATCAAGGACTCTTCTTCAGTAATTAGGAGAAACACAAAATGGAAGTATACATGGAATGAGGGAACCCATGGAAGGGCATGGGATGTGGAGACAGAGAAGGGAAGAGAGGATAGATGAAAGTAAGTAGGACTGTCAGGAAAGTACAGGAGTATATGTAGATATCCCCACTGGGCAGGACGGGAATATATACATACTAGGGTCTCTGGTTTAAAGGATACTATTGAAGAGTTTTCTGCACTCAAGCAATATTCAAGAAAGGAGGACAAATTTGGCTTTCAGTTTGTCCCTGTGATTAATGAATATCAAATAGACAAATATTGACTCTAAGAATACATGCAACAGTCCTGTATATATGCAGAGCAGCTGATAACCACAGTGCATCCCATGTATCTACTGTTGTGCCTGAAACTCAGTACATGCTTATTGGACATTTTGTGAAGCAGTAAATATACACCACTGTACTGCTTCCCTATTCATTTTTACCTTTGTTGCAAGTCTTTTACTTTACTGTCTTTACTTCTCCCACAAAACTGTTAGTGAAGAAAGTATTAAAAAAATCACAGTTTAGAGAGAAAAGCATGAATGTGGTGAAAGTTTTAGTACAGCCAGGGGTTCCCCTTCATTCTCTGACTTGTTGGACTTGGCTGTCTCTTTCAAACTTCCTGAGATCTTAACTCTTTTCCCCCACATGTCAGAGATATGTTTCTCTAGAAATGTTTCCGGATAACTACATGATCATTATAAATAGCTCTTGGCAATTTGTATTTCAGCATTTTTAATGGATAATTTCAATTCCCTGTGTAGACAGCATTGCAATTACAAATAGAATGATAAATCACTTCTCAGCAAGAAAATAAAATTATGGGATTTCACTTTTTCTTAGGAATGATTCCCTCTTTATATATATGCTCATGCTAAATGGCACAGTGTCTTGGCAGGAAATGGCATGTGATTAGTTGCTGTAATTTTTATTTTGAGATTAAAACAACTGGAAAATATCTCAGCTGTGAAGTAATATTTGAATGAAATTGTTTTTCCCAGGGTAGGAAAACAATGACTGATTATTCAGCCAGGAAAGATGTTTCTCTGGAATGAAAGACACATTTTCACCCTTTTGGTTTATTTCAGTGCAGTCTACCATCCCTCCTCATTTCATTGTCTTTCTTCTCCAGGACCAAACATATTGAACATTATTATTGTTTTTGTTATTAATTTATTCTTGGTGCTGAGGATTAATCCTAGGGCCTCACTCATGCTAACCATGTGCACTGCCAGGACACTCCAAACCTCTGAAGCATAGCTCTCTATATATTTCAAAAGTAGCAGGACAACTGACAGTTAACAGCTGTTAGGAGACTCAGAGTGCCTTCCCACGGTGTATCCCTTTAGATGTGTGGCCTTTGAGAACTTACCCTGCCTCACAGAGGCTGAAACAATGGGTGTCTAACATTTCTGTGATTATCCTAAACTACACTCCAAGGAAATACGTGTACGTTGCCTTTAAGAGGAAGCTAGGCACCCTCTGGTCTTTGGAGCTCTGGAACTCCACTTCCCCGCGATGGTCCAGGTGCCCTAGGGCTACACTTGATCTTAGCCAAAAGGCCGAGAAGCTATGGGTGCCCTAGGGCTTTAAGGAGTTACAAAGCTGCGGAGCCGTGGCTCGAGCGGCGCGGAGACTTCGTTTCCCAGAAGTCCGTGTGGTGTGCACGACGACGACTGAGCCAATGAAGGCTTCGGCAAGATCGCTCATGTGCGTGGGCGCCACGAGGGGCGGGACTTCCGGTATCTTTTGGTGGGAGCCATCTTGGTTGTCCCATGGTTTCTTAAAGCGTTAAGCTTATGGACTGTTTGGTTGTTACTGAGGTGACAGAGCAGAAAAGCTGGAGAAGCGGTTTGATTCCCAGTGCCCAGAGGAGGGGATGTCTCTCAGCTGAGCCAGTCTGGCGACTGCAGTGCCTTTACCCTACCCTTGTGTCCCCACTCGGGTTATCCCTCTGGGCTCGGTTGGCGGAGGCCGCACTCATAAGCTTGGCGCAGGTGGGTGCTGCGACCCCGGGCGCCCCACTCCGAGGGCTACGCTTGGGTAGAGGGGCTCGGCCCGTTCACCTCAGGTCAAGGCCTGTGTGCAGGACGGAAGGGTCTTGTGAGGGATCCTCTTTCTGGCCGTAGCGTTGAGGCGTGGAAGAGAGATCCCCCCCGCCCCGGGCCGGCTTCTTGAAAGCTGCAGGTGCCACGTAGTTCGAGCAGCGGGGAGACGCGGGATGTCTGTTGTCTGCGAGAAAGAGCGGTTGGTGGAGTCTCGTCTGAATGACAACCAGAACGTCTGGAAGCTCTCGAGGGCGAATAGGAGGGAGTGTCCCGAGTTAGAAATTGATAGTTGGGGAAAACAGGATAGGGAATTAAGGCAGGGATGCTGGTGGAGATACCACTGCAGTTGAACTGGACTACTGTGGTAGGGGCTGGACCAGAGTGGTGGCAGTGGAAGAGCAGTGTGATGAGATGCTGGTTAGACCTGAGAGATAAAATCCAGAGGATTTCCTGATACATCAAATATGACTGCAAGAATAGTTAGCATTCCGTCTTCCCACTGGCTCCCAAGCCAACATCTGAATGCTATTGAAGAAATGAAGTTTTAGATCATTGCAGAGAGTTTTTTGTTCACAACTCTGATCTTCTAAAACGGCTAAGACCTGGCAGAGGAAGGATTTTGGCTCATGAATGTAGAAAATAAGTCCTGGATATGTTAAGAAACTGGCCTAGGAAAAAGACTGAAGTGTGAGACTGTTTAGATTTTCCACCTGCAGGCTTGGCTGATCCTCAAGGCTGCTGTCTGTGGAGCAAGAGAAAAGTCACCCAGAGTAGTGGAGCAGCTGGACTCCAGACCAAGCCACTGCTTTTTCCTCCACGACATCTCAGGGCAAGAGGGGATGATTTAGTATTGTATTCAAGAGTCCTGGACGAGCTCCCTTCAGAGCCAGAGCAGGTCTGGTTGCAGAAAGGACTAGTAGCTGACCTGCCTGCTCAGGTCTTCCCTACAGCTCATTAACCTAAGGATGAATGAAACACTTATTGATGCAAATACGAATTAAACACTATCTCACTAAGTCTGTACACATTTGTAGCACATGAAGTTACTCAGGAAGTTAAATTTCTGCAAACAGTTCATAATTGGTTTGACATTACTTTACCTGTATTTGCTTATCATGGGAGATCTCTAAAATCTTGAAATGCTAAAAGTATACACCCAGTTTCAAAGCCTTACTACTTCATTTGCACTGAAAACATACAAAACCATTAATTAATCGTATGACTAGCAATACCTGGTATGTAGTAGCTGTTTTACCAGTATGAGCCTTTTGAGGTAAGAACCATTCTTATTCTGTGCAGATGAGTCTCAGGGAGATTCAGTTCTCTTCCAGAGCCATAGATCTGCTGAGAAGCTCTTAAGCTCTGAAGTTTGATGAGCTGTGTTTATACAAACAGATTGAGATCAGTTTTTTCCAAGGCAGAGCAGAGAGGTGGTGGTCCAGCTCACCCTGTGAGATTCTAACATAGTGGCATATTTCTCATGGTCTCTCTTCCCACAGGGTCCACTGATGATGGCAGAAATGGATCCTGCACAGGTTAGTAGAGGATTTCCTACCTTATACCAACCCTAGTTACCTCCAAGATGGCTTTGGCACCCTAACATAAGGAAAGGTGGTATGTTGAGACCCTTGTTCTCCCTCTCATGTATGAAGACTAGTTGGTTCCGTAAGGCTAAGTTTCTTACATTTTGTAGTTCTCATGTTTTTTTTAAAATAAATTTTATTTTATTTTACCCCATACCCCTCTCAAGCCCCCTCCCTTCCCCATGTACAAGTTTTGTTTCCATGTTTTCCTTCTATTTTCATGTCCCTTCCTAAGAATGGTAGAATTTTTAACAGAAGAAGAGAGAAAACGATTTTTTTTTTGAGAGAATACAAATTTGAAGTCAAGGAAGAGCAAAAGCTAAAGCTCAATACAAACACTCATTTAATCAATGAGTTCTGTTTAGGTGACCCAGGTCGTTAAATGAATTGGTTGCTAAATAAGGAATTGTATGTAGTATGTACATTATAATATTCAGAAAAAAAGGTCAAAGGAAACTCCAACCTGGTGACTTTGCTTTTATTTGCAAGACTCTTACATGCAGTACTGTAATGTATACCATAAAACTACCGTATTCTATGGTACAATCAGAAAAAAATTAGTCTTGTACAAACAAGGTATACTGTACAACAAAAGGCACTGAGGCTCTACCAAGTTGTACAGAATTGTACAAAAAAAAACCGGATCCTAAATCCGAGCAGCGGGTGGTAAGTCTGAACAGTTAAGTGGGTAAGTTGTTAAACAAGGAATGCCTATATACACTTCAGCAATCCGATAAGCACCTGCTTAGACGGAGTATTTACTACAATTATACACCTGGTAACTTAACTATACCCCTCACCTGACACGAGAAGAGCTGAAAGCCCTTCCCAAGAGCGACTGCACTCCGCAGTCTTATTGATACGTCTGATTACAGCGAATTAGGTAAGGCTAAGGGAAAGTGAAAAGTCTAAAATATAAAATAGTAAGGAGTAGAGGTCCTAATTTCGACAGCTCTACCCTTCCAATTCAGTTAAGGCAGAAATGATAGCGTTAGAAGAGTTAAAGTTCCTACCTGAATTTTGAGCTCTCCCACTTCCAGGGGGTCACAGCCGAGATTAAACGCCAGCGTGGTGGACACGAGCGCCAGGTGGTCGGCAAGCTGCTCTCGCGGCTGCCCGGAGCCGGGTCCCCGCCTCTCAGCTAGGTTCCAGCGAGGCTCCAGGACCTGCACCTTGGCCAGGTGGGGTTGGGCAGTGTCCGACGACTCTCCCGCCCGGGCCACCCACACCCACTCACCCTGGAAAAGGCCAAGGCCGCGGAGGCAGCTCCGGCTCACGCCCGGTGCAGCTCCAGTCCCTCCCAGCACTCCCTGGAGCTGCCCCCGTGTGCTGGACACTGAGAAGAACGACAGCACAGGCGCGGGTGGCCGGCAGCTGCTGTCTCCTGGCTCGGGGGCCAGTCTAGTCTGTCGGCGGAGCTCAGTCACGGTCAGCCGCGTCCCCGGGCCCAGCAGCCCCTGTAGCGCTGGGCGAGTCTCCAGGACGCCGGCAGGATCTCCCCACGCCTCACCAGCAACGGCCGACCCCAGGTCCCAGCCCCGGCCCGGGCGAGGCGCCCAGCAAAGCCCAGCCAAGCGCTGGAGGCCGCTGCACGGGCCGCGCCCACACTTGCGCCCCGGAGCCCAGGGTCAGGAGCTGCAATAGTGCACGGCTGACCAGAAGCTGCGGGAGCCCCAGGCCTCGCGCTTCGGACTCCACACCCGTCCCCTCTAGGGCCGCCAGGAGCTGGGCCAACCCCGCCGGGCCCTCGCTGCGGCCGGCGAGCTCCAGCACTAGGCCCAGACCCGCCGCAGGCCATGCGCCCCCCGCCCCGGCGGCAGCAGCAGCAGTAGCACAGCCAGCGAGGGTGTCTCGGTCGGGAAGGGCTCCAGGACTCTCAGGATGGCCAGCGCCATGGTGACTCTCATTTTTGAAAAATGAGCTAAAGTATGCCAGCATTGTGGGCACAGGACCCAGAATGTTTAAATGCTTGGAGGTAAGACAGGAAACTGGAAGTCTGTTGTTGTAGGAGTGCGGGCTGTAAGAGGATGGCTAGAAGCACATAGACACCAGGCTTAGAGTGACCATGAGGTTCTGGGCCTCAACTCTGGGCTACAGAAGAGTTGAACGAAAAGAAGACGGTAGTGTGACCTAGATTTTTAGTGCATTTTGAACTAAAATTGTTCACATTTTATGATATAGGAAGTGAGGAAGCTTGGGAGATAAGATGAAAGTGGAATTGGGAATGTCCTCTTGATTTCTTGTTTGGAAGAATGGATAGATGTTCTATTAAGTAAGAGGGGGAAGTCAGCAGTATGAAGAATTTTCAGAGGGAATGAAAGAGTGAGTTTTGTCCATGCCACAAATATTCCAGATATTCCTGGTGAAGGAGTTCTGGTCAGAGACATCCGCAATATTGTGGCTGGCATGTGAACTGGAAGGAAGCTGTGGGTAGAAGTTAGGACACAGCATCTCTGTGTTACCATGGATGTAGATGCTGTGGGGGAAAGGAGACCAGTTATGGTGTTGCTAATCCTTAATCGGGGTGAGGTGATGGTAGGTGTGGGTAGTGAGTGAGGTTAGTGCAGCTGGGTTTTGTTTTCTTTTTTTTTTTTTTTTTTGGTACCGGGGATCGAACTCGGGTCCTTGCGCTTGCTCAGCAGGCAGCGAAACCACTGAGCTAAATCCCTGGCCCAGCTGGGTTTTAATATGAGATTTTGGTGAGCAAATAGACCTGACTGTTTATGGGACAAAATGTGTAATGCAGAAGCTGGAAACACCCAGGAGTGAGGTCCCTGCCTATGCTTAGGTGGCTTTAAAGTGAGATAAAGGGCAGATGGGGAGACCTTCAAAGCAGGGCTTTGGGCTACCCCTGATGTTAGGGTACTCGGGGTATTCTGGGACGGGACTGAGACTGAATCAGACGTGGAATATATTTGGCATGTTGCATCTCGTTTCCATGTGTGCAGTGTCCAGTTAGGAGGTAACAGAAATGTCTATGGTATGGGCTGTGTTGGAGGTGTGTTCACAGAATGAGGCGCAGGTAGAAGGGTGTGAATGCTTAACCCTAGGCCCTGAGATCAGGCACACAGGGAGAAGGGTCATCCTGAGTGTAGTTGTCTGGGAAGTAAGATCTGGAGGATCCCAGGGAATTGGCTGGCCAGAGGGGCTGGAGTTCAGCATAGCAGTCCTACAATTTAAATGGTGCTTTTTTTTCTTGTGTTCCAGACTCAGTGCTCAATGAAAATGAGAGAAAAGGCACCAGTGCCACCAGGACTGGTATCTGTTTCACATTGGGAAGGTGTAGAGGAGATTGAGCAGTGGATGGTTGTGGAGGAGAAGGACTTAGAACCTAGAGAGAGAAAAATGTAACAGTGGTTGTACCTATGAGGTTTTACTTTATGGATATGAGTGAAAGCAGTGACAAAGAAGGTATTTATTCCCTACACTTCCCAAAGGGGATGTACATCACACCAGGGTCATATGACAAAAAATGGTCTTGGGTAGGAGGCATAATACAGGAGCAAGGAGGAAGCCTAGGTTGTGGCCTTTACTGGGGCTCACAAGGGAAAGACAAAGCAGAGCATAGTGAGCTGCTTAAGTTTGGCTATTTTGAATAATTCCAGCACCCTGAAGGCATGGGAGCTGCCCCTAGTTGTCCAGTACTTGCCCCTGGTTGATTTAGGTCAAGGAAAATAGTGGCTTGGGTTGCAAAAGTTAGATGAGGAGGTCATTCAGAATACGTGCATGGCGTGGGACATGTAAACAAACCTAACTCTTAGTTTAGCCCTTTAGTTACTGGGTGCCAAATAGATGAATCTAAAAATCAAAGAAGCATAGTTAAAAAACAAGCTGTGCATTTACTGAACTGTCTTCATTGTGGCAGGGCCGTGTGGTCTTTGAGGACGTGGCCATCTATTTCTCTCAGGAGGAATGGGGGCACCTCAGTGAGGCCCAGAGACTGCTGTACTGTGACGTGATGCTGGAAAACTTGGCACTTTTGTCCTCACTAGGTAAGGCCCTCACACCCACTCAGTGTCCTGGTTGAGCTAGGGTTTCCCTGTTACCCAAGGGCAGCTCTGTCTTCCCACATTCTGACCATGGCACAGAGTTCTTCACTGGTTTCCTAATAGTGTGTTATGGGAAGTGTGGCGCTCTGTACTTTGTACCCCTCTAAACCTGTGCAGCCCTGTCTCTTGCTGCTCTGAGGGTTTGCAGAAAAGGACTTGAGTCAGAAATGTTGAGTTCCTCTAAGAGACCCCAATGTCCTGCTTGTCCCTGGCTAGGTCATCCTGTCCATATGTTCGGAAGGTCGATGCTCCAGATTGTCACCTTGTTCTTACTGATATTTTTGGTGTATTCTTGTGGCAGGAATATCTTGCACTGACCTGGTGGTCACCAGTTGGGGGCCACTGGATTGATTCTACAGGACTTTTCTGTGATGTTGTGATTATAGCATGTGGGATGCTGTGGGATGGATCCCTGGACGTGTTCTTCACTACCTTTCTCTGTCTTTCCCCTTGGAATGACCTCTTCCAACTTCCACCTAAGTCACTTTGAGTGATGGGAAGGTCCTGGGTATCCAGGAGAGTGGATATTAACACCAGTGATGTAATAGGGACTCACACGGACATGGTCCTGTTGCTAGGGAGTTGGGAATGGGGATTGTATCAGAGCTTGGTTTTTTTCACATTGGGTACCTTTCCTACACCTGCCATTGTTTGATGCCAAGACCAGTGGCCAACCTCATTTCTACCTTTTCTTCCACATTGTCATTTGTTTAGACAAATGGCTGCCCCTGACCCTACATCTGCCCCCCTCCCCCTTCTGTGGCTTCCACCTCTCACCCATGCTCTCCATTGCTCCCTTGGCAGGGCCTTCTAACACATGGTCTATGCTTATGGTGCAGTGAGGTATGTACGTATCGCTCAGTAGTCCTTGAACTCTGCTGATCTGTCAGAATTAGATATCGCTACATCTGGACACAGCCTTTTTTTTTGACACAGGGTTTCACTATGTAGTTCATGTTGGCCTTGAGCTCACTATGTAGCCCACACTGCCCTTGAACTCACAGTGATCCTCCTGCCTCAGCCTTCGAGTGCTGGGATTAAAGGCATATGCCACCATGCCTAGCTGTACATAGCCTTCTACATACTGCTCCCCAGTCACCATCAGCCATAGCCTGGTGAAAGCATTTGCAGAGGATTGGGATAGAGAGCCTGCTTCTATTTCCCCTGCTGTGCCTCTCTTTATGTCCTTATTCATCACTGGGCTCTCCTGTACAGCAGGTCCTCCTCTCACTGGCTTTATGGCCATCTCCTGGCAGGAAGCCTGTGGACTTAATGTGGATGTGTGTGACACACATTTGGAATGAGGATCCTCCCATTAAAGTCAACATGTACCTCACCAGCATGTTCTCTTCTTACAGGTTGCTGGCATGGAGCCAAGGATGAGGAGGCACTTTTTGAGCAAGGAATTTCTGTAGGAGCATCACAGGTTACCACTCCAAAGCCAGGGTCGTCTACTGAGAAGACCCAGCCTAGGGAGTCACTCTTGAAAGATATTCTGCATTTAGCTGAGCACAGTAGAACACAAACTGAACAAGAGATGTACCTTTGTGAGGCAGAGCTTTACCAGCCTTATAAGCAGAATCTTTCCAGAGGGGACAGTTGGAGACTTTCATTTTTGAAGAATCACAGAATTCATATGGCAGAAAGAACTTTCACATGCAAGGAGGGTTGGAAGGAAGCGCCAGCCACTTCAGGCCTTCTCCAGCACCAGGCCCCTTGCTGTGTGTGGAAGCCAAACATGGAAACCCAGGGTATGGAAGCCCTTCCAGCCCGACACAACAATTACACATGCAGTAAATGTGGGAAAGCCTTCAGATGCAAATACTCACTTGATGAGCATGAGAAAACTCATACAGGAGAAAGACCTTATCAGTGTAGCAAATGTGGGAAATTCTTTAGGTATAATGCCAACTTCATGAAACATCAGAGTATTCACAGTGGAGAAAGGACTTATGAGTGTAGAGAATGTGGAAAATCATTTATGTACAACTATAGACTCATGAGACATAAGAGGGTTCACACTGGAGAAAGGCCTTATGAATGTGACATTTGTGGGAAATTCTTTAGGTACAGCTCTACCTTCTTTAGGCATCAGAGAGTTCACACTGGAGAAAGGCCTTATGAGTGTAATGTATGTGGGAAATTCTTTATGGACAGCTCCACTCTCATTAAACACCAAAGGGTTCACACTGGAGAAAGGCCTTATAAGTGCAGTGAATGTGGGAAGTTCTTTAGGTACCACTCCACTCTCATTAGACATCAGAGACTTCACAGTGGAGAAAAGCCTTACGAATGCAGCATATGTGGGGAATTCTTCAGGTACAACTCCAGCCTTGTTAAACATTGGAGAAATCACACTGGAGAAAGGCCTTACAAATGCAGTGAGTGTGGGAAATGCTTTAGGTACCACTGCAGACTCATTAGACATCAGCGAGTTCACACTGGCGAGAGGCCTTATGAGTGTAGTCAGTGTGGGAAGTTCTTCAGGTACAACTCCAACCTCATTAAACATTGGAGGAATCATACTGGAGAAAGGCCTTATGAGTGCAGGGAGTGTGGGAAAGCCTTTAGCCACAAACATATACTTGTTGAGCACCAGAAGATCCACACTGGAGAAAGACCTTATGAGTGCAATGAATGCCGAAAGGCCTTCATTCGAAAATCCCACCTGGTTCATCACCAGAAAATCCACAATGAAGAGAGCCTGGTGTGCTCTGAGAATGTGAGGAATTCTATAGGTACAACTCCAGCTTCATTAAACATCAGAGATTTTACCATGGAGAAAATTTACCATTGACTTAATTGGACAATGTTTTTTGAATTCCCATTTTTCCGGCAGTTAATCTCCAGAACTTTTTATCTTGCAGAAGTAAAACTATCCCCATTAAACAGGAATGCCTCATTTCCTTTCCCTACTGGCCCTGGCTACTGCTACTCTATACTTTGTATCTATGAGTTGGATGCCTATTGCTATCTTATGGGTAGAGTCATACAGTATGCCTTTTCATGACAGGCTTATTTCACTTAGGATGTCTAAAGTTCATCTGTGTGTAACAGGTCAGAAGTCTATTCCTTTTTTGCAGTGAAATAATATTCCATGGTATATGTATACCATATTTATTTCTTCAATGGTTAATGGATACTTGGGTAGTTCTAACTTTTAGCTATTAGGGAAAATGGTATATGAAGATGAGTGCACAAATAGTTGTTTGAAGCCCTGCTTTCAGTTCTGTTTGGGTGCTCCCAGAAGGAACATACTGGATAATACAGTGTCTTAATTTTGTAAGGAACTGTTTTCCATAATAACTACCATTTAACATTCTCCCTGCACAAAGTTTCCTGTCTGCATCACTACCAACACTTCCTTTGTTGTTTCTGGGGTTTTTTGATAGTGTGCGTACGTGTGTGTGTGTGTGTGTGTGTGTGTGTGTGTGTACATATGTAGCTCACCTTTTGGATCTGAGAACACTGCATTTTTTTTTATACTACTGATTAGTGATGTGCTTAGTAGGATTATTTAATCTAGAGAAATATCTTCCATTCCCATTTCTAATGAGGTTTTTTTGTTGTTGAATTACAGAAAGTTTAGAAATATATTTTGTACATGATCTTAAAATATTTTCTCCTAGTGCAGATTTTTTTGGTTCTGTAGATTATATCCTTTGCGGAACTTTTAAATTTTCATGTGGTCCAGTTTATTTTATCCATGCTTTTGATATATGCAAGAAATCATTGTCAAATCCAATTTCATGCAGCATTTTCCTTATGTTTTCTAAGAGTTGTTTATTTATTTATTGGTACTGGGGATTGAACTTGGGACCTTGTGCTTTTGAGGCAGGCGGTGGAACCACTGACCTAAATTCCCAACCCAGTTGTACATTTATTTATGTCTGTAAGCCTTATATTTATGTATTTGATTTTTTTTTTTTGAGACAAGTCCTCACTATATTGCTCAGGGTGAACTCCTGGGTTTGAGAGAGCCTCCTGCTTCACCTTCCCAAGTAGCTGGAATGACAGGTATGTGCCACTGTGCCTGGCATTCATTTGTTTCTGTGTATGTTAGGCAAACCACCATGCTTTCCCATGTGGATAACTAGCTTTCCAAGTTCCATTTATTGGAAAGATTGCCTTTTCCCTATTAAATAGTCTTGTCACTCCTTTCAAAATCATTTGACCATACATGCCAGGGCTTATTTGTGGACTGTTCTGTTGGCCTAAAAGTCTGTCATTGTGACAACATTACATCAGATATATACTTTAAAAAGTTTACTTTTTTTATTTTCTTGAGACAGGCTCTCAGTATGTATCTCCAGCTGGCCTTGAACTCACTATGAAGCCCAGGCTGGCCTCAAGCAATGATCCTTCTGCTTCAGCCTCCCAAGTGCTGAGATTATGGGTGTGCACCACTACACCTAGCTTTTTTTTTAAAACACTATTTTGAAGCCATGTGCCATTTGCAGGAGCCGAGGCCTCGCCCCACAGCGACCCTGTGTGTGCACGAAGCCGTCCTTGGAGACAGGAAATCTTTTAATTGAGCCAGTAGGCTACTTAGAATCCTGTTTCACAGCCAAGAATGGAACTCCACAGCAGCCATCCATTTGTAGCCATTCACAGGCCTGTTTGAGGATTAGAAAGAGCATCTTTAATAATCCTGAACATTCCTTGATGGGCTTAGAACAGTTTTCTCATGTTTGGTGGAGCTGTATACCTATCTGGAATTGACGTGATATGTGGCACACCAGTACTAGAAATAAAGCCTTACATAGCTGATTATGACTCACCACAGAATTTGATGGAACCTTTAGGGGATTTTAATAAGCAGAATAACCCACATAAACCCAAAACTGTCCCAGTCTGATGGTAAAACTAATAGCTATGACCAGTAACAGCTCTCAGGATGTGTTACACCACAGCTGTACCAAAGCAGTAAGGAGAATTTGATCCCCGGTACCAAAAAAAAAAAGTGTACAACAAGACCGAAGCACTAAGGAGAAATCTAAATGCTCTGAAGACAGCTTCAGAAGAAAACTACCTGAAGCACAATGATACAAGAAAAATCCAGCAACCCTTGCCTAAGTGCAGAGAGAGCAACGGATCTTGGGGTGGAGCCAAGAAGCCGTCAGAGTCTGTGGCAGAAGAGCAGATGGGCCCACATGGCCTTGAGAAGACCCCTCTAGAGGGGGGTAAAGATAAGAGGCCAATGAGTGGAGAAGGACCCCTAGTTGTGCCAGGAAACTGTGGAGATGCAGCCCCGGTCTCATCCTTGCTCAGTCAGGACCAGGATGACTGACAGCATTGTTCCTGACTGGGTGAGAGAGGCACCTGTGGCCCCTTTACAAGTCTGGTTTACCCCTCATGCAGAGATGGACCTCTGGCAGCTCAGCTAAGATCCTGGCCAGGTGTCCTTTAGGTATTTTCAATCAACAGAAAAGCAAAGTGTGCCATTGAGGCTGTGCTGTCTGCCCACCCCTGAGTATCAGCAGAAGCTCTGCCAGGACTGCCTTTTCTACTTCACCATGGACACAGCACACATCACTTGCTGGTTTGGTGATGGCTTTGTGGAGGTTCTCAGGATCAAGCTGGCCCCTGAGCCTGTGCATAAGACTGAGCCTGTGGATCTTTGATATCTCTGGGATTTTAAGGAGCCTCCATCATGTCTTTGAAACAGCCTCATTGGCCTCTGGATTTTTTCTTCAAGCTAATTTTGTGTCTTCTTTGTAGAAAGAAGTATCATTTTACAGTTTCACTGCCTTGATTGGGGGATGTTCAAAATATTTATTTAAAAATGTATTTCAGTAAACTTAACTAAGATATAAGATACAGAATAATCACCACATCCTTTTTGACCTGCTAATATTGAAGAATCCAAAGGTGATGCTGATCTTGGTGATTTCCAAAAAAGCTGATTGTTTTTTGCATTTGATAAAATTAGACAGAGATCATTCTAGCAGAGACTTTGACACTAGAGTTGACCTGTTCAGCGATTCACCCTGGGGTTGGGGCTGTAGCTTTGTGGTAGAGTGCTTGCCTGGCATGTGTGAGGACTTGCATTTGGGCCCCAGCACTGCAAAAAATAAAAAATAAGAAACAACAAAAAAACCTCCAACAATTTAACATTGGTTTTCCTGTCTGGAACCTAACCTTTTTAAAAATTCTAAATCAGACTGAGTTATGATATCTTAGGAAATTAACAAAAGCAGGTGGTTATAAAGATCTCTAGAGCCAGGCGTAGTGGCATACATCTGTGGTCCCAGCACTCGGGAGGCTGAGGCAGGAGGGTTGCCATGAGTCCAAGACCAGCCTGGACTACATAGGGAGACCCTGCCTTAAAAGGTCAGAGAAAAGGTGCCAGGGATTTAGCTTAGTGGCACTGTGCCTGCCTCACAAGTGCAAGGTCCTGAGTTTGATCCCCAGTACCACCCACCAACCCCAAATCTTTAGGAATTAAACCTCTGTATTTTGGAGACTTTGATATATACATATATGTGTGTATTTAATTTTGATTCCAAAATAAGGACTTGAACTTTCTTTCAGTATCCTTGTATCAGAAAAGAAAAATCACCCCGTCCAAAAAAAGCTTAAGAAAATCAATGCTAGTTTTATATCTTACTTATTTTGTGACTAATTGAGAACCTACTATGGGTTAAGTTTTGGTGATAAAATGAACAAGATGCGGTTCTTGTTGCAAGTACAAGAAACACCTAACTCAAAAAGAAATTCACAGACAAAAGGATGGAAAACTCCACGTGACAGGAACCCAGAAAAAAGCAGGGGTAGCAGTCTTATTTGCAGACAAAGTAGATTTCAAACCAAAACTAAGACAAAGATGGTCACTACATCTTATGAAGGGAAAAATCCAAGAGGAAGAGATGACAATCATAAATATATATGCACCAAATACGAATGCCCCCAGCTATACAAAACAAATATTAATGGACATGACAAACCAAATAAGCACTAATACATTTGTAGTGGGAGACCTGAATACCCTACTATCACAAATAGATCATCTAGATAAAAAATGAACAATGAAGTGAACAATGAAATTCTAGAACTGAACCAAGCTATTGAACAAATGGACTTAATAGATGTTTACAGTGTTCCACCCCACAAAATCAGAATACATATTCTTTGCAGCTGCACATGGGTCATTCTCCAAAACAGACCACATGCTAGTTGATAGGACATGTCTAAGTAAAGTAAAAGAATTGAAGATACACCCCGTATACTATCAGACCATAGTGCAATAAAATTGGATATCAATAACATAAACTGCAAAAGCCCTACAAACACATGGAAATTAGATAACACCCTCCTGAACAACCAGTGGGTCACAGAGGAAATTAAAGAAGAAATTAGTTTCTACAAGTAAATGATACTGCCAGTACAATATGCAGGAATCTATGGGACAGGATGAAAGCAGTTCTATGCAGGAAATTCATAGTGAATGCCCATATTAGGAAAACAGAGAAAACTCAAATAACCTAATGCAAAACCTCAAGGTCATACAAAAAGAGCATGACAAACCCAAAGCTCTTACAAGAGAGGAAATTATAAATATCCGAGCAGAAATCAGTGCAGTGGAGACTAAGAGAATGATACAAAAAAAAAAATCAATGAATCAAAGAGTTGCTTTTTTGAAAGGGTAAATAAAATTGATAAAATTTTAGCCAACCTTATCAAAAAAAGAAAAGTCTCAAATCCATGCAATTAACGAAAAAGGTGAAGTCACAACAGACTCAGCAGAAATCCAGAGGATCACCAATACCTACTTTGAGAACCTGTACTCTAATAAAATGGAAAACAGAAGAAATGGACAGATTCCTAGATACACATGAATTGCCAAAGTTAAATGAAGAAGATATAGAACTTCTAAACACCCCAATTGCAATGAGTGAAATTGAAAATGTAATAAAAAATTTACCAACAAAGAAAAGCCCCGGTCCTGAAGGCTTCACTGCTGAATTCTACAAGACATTTAAAGAAGAACTATTGCCATTACTCTTTAAACTCATCAAGGAAATTGAAAGGGAAGCAATACTCCCAAATTCATTCCTGGATGAAAGTGTTACTTTGATTCCAAAA